ATTGTAATTGTAGTTACATATAAGAACTATAGGACATGCAGCATGTAGCATCAAAACTGACAGGATTTAACATGACAGAAGCAGAAGGTGGTTTATTATGAAAGCCTGAGAGTGCTTGCCCCGTCTTGATTTATAATAGAATAACCAGGTAGGAGGTGACCTTACCTTACCAAACAGACCTTACCTTACTATTTGATAGTTTTCCAACAGCTGTTTTCCAGGAGCCTTTTTTTTGTCTTTCAGTAATGTGTTTTGGTCTCAGTGATGATGTTTATCTTGTTACTGGTGGGAAACTTTCTTTTAATTATGTGTTTTTTAAAAACCTATGGGTGAGTTTCATGTGTTTCTTTGTTCCATGTTAACTGTAACCAAAAGCTTTACTTCCCAGTTTAGTAAGATTTATTTGTATGATAATACAATGGGTTTATTTGGTTTTAATTCAAAATGTTATATGCGGCTGTAGGTAATTTAAAAACATTTCCTGAAAAATGGTGGGTTTGACTGTACCATGCTGGAATTGCCTCTCCTGATCATGAAGAGCTGAATAATAGTCATTTGTTACATAGTATGTTGACTCAGACACAGATGATTTCAGTTCAAATGACAGAGGGTATTACAAAACCCAGCTGTTGACTCTGCTCCTCTTTCCACAAGTTGTTTCGTCTGTGGCAGGAATGGCTGATCTGTGAAGCAGTTTTTGACAGCTGCAGTTTCTGGCCTAATTTATTCAAGTAAACCAGTGGTGGCTTTAAGTTGTTTTAATGCACTGAGTTGGCAACTCCAACTGTTTAGGAGCTGTTTCCAGTGTAAATTGTCAGTGCTACCATAGTAGTGGCAGCCTTAGGAGAAGAGTGAAAGCCTGGTAGGATGTTTAAGTTGCCAGTATGAGTGCATAAATTCTGTTCGTGATTCATAGCTAACTTGAGAAAGAGTTTTTGCAGCAGTGTGCTAGCACTTGCAGAACAATTGCAGACAGCTGCTGGCAAGACACATTTTCTTGGCTCAAAATGATTAATCTCAAGCTAAGGCAATTTTCTCCAAGAGCTCTGGTTGTTAATCAAATTTGGAGAAAAGACAACAAGAAACATTAAAACAGATACTCTTCTTTGAGGTTTCAATTGCACTGGGATTGATAGAAGACTGTTTACCTTTTTTGGAAAAGCTATGTGGTGGGCACAAGAATATGGGCCAAGAAATTTATTGGCTGGGGCTGATTCTACTGAATAAATCAATAGGGTGTTAAATAGGAAGCTGTTGAGATAAGGCTACCAGGTAGGCTGCTTAGGAGGGCAGAAAGAAAATGGGTTGGGTGGGGTCATGGTTGGGAAGGGTGCCAATTTTCATTGCTTTCCCTTCTAGGATAATACCTCACTGAGCTCACAAGATCCCTCTGGGTATATGGACTTGGTAGTCAAGCAGAGTCAGGAAAGCTAACATAGATAGCAGGGGCTGGAAGAGACAGCCCTATTTTAATATGTTAGAATAATCTCAAATTTTGGCTTCTTGTTTATTTGTATCTAGATACCTACTATGTAAACTTTACATTTTTGCCCTTCAAACAGAGTTATTTTCCCAAGAAGAACTTAATTGTTTTTTTAGTTGTGATTATGCCTTCATAGCCTTTTTCTGGAGTTAAAAATAGAATTCTGATATCTTCTATCTAATGAATTTGTAGACTAGATGCTTCTGTTGCCTTTTTTCTCCTGTAACAGGATAGAATTCCTTGCACTACAACAACCCTGCTGCAGTGAAGTCATTACACTGCACTTAAAATGCAGAAATGAATGACCTTTTGCTAGGACTCTGTGTTGTTTATATTGCTAAGCCTGATCACCATCTCCCAGCAAAAGCCAGTTTGATCCTTAAACATTTGTACTGTATATTAGTATCTGTTCAGAATTGTCTATTGTTTGCTGTCTGGTTCTCATTGATTATAACATTGTGCATCTCCACAATGTCCCTATTTGCCCCTTGGATCTTCATTGTACAGAGCAGCTCTTATCTTCCTTGCTGATAGCATATCACCAATGGTACCAGTTAAGAGCTGAAAACACTTGTAACATAATGGAAAGTTCTACTTTTGCCAGGATGACTCATTTATTAACACCAGGATAGAGAGGCTTCCTGTGCCAACTTAAGAAAAAGTTACGGGAAGATACTATTATATATCAAAAGATAAATGATTGGAAGAGTTTTGTCAGCCTTATAGGAATTATGTTTTTTAATACTCTCAGTCTGCCTGAAACAAGCTTGGAAACTCAGTGAATAGATCCTTTGGAAACAGTTTACATCTTGCTTTGCTTTAGGAGCAGACAGACAACTGTTGAGAAGAATGGTCTGGTACTAGCAGTATTGGAGCCAAGCAGTACATGCAGGAGGCACTAAATATCTTTTTTTTCCAACTGCCCACAAGTTTTTGGCTTCAAATAGGCCACTGTTGAAATGTAGCTACCAAGCTGGCCACTTGGGAGGAAAGGAAGAAAATAGACTTGGTTTTGGGTGGTGTCAAGGATTAGGAGGGCTTTTGGGACCGCAAAGAGGCCAGGAAAGACTTTGGCTGCTGGGCAGAATGCCCTTGTGTACCTGTCAGACATTGCTGAAAATGAGTGGGTGGCTGGGGTACGGTTCCACTGTCCTACCCTAGTGTGAATGGAATGTCTGTAACTCAGGACTTCAGCAAATTCGTCCTGTGGACTCCAAGGAATCCTGTGATGCCCCAGTAGTACTGTGGGCATGGTTTAGGTTTTGTCAAGGAATCTTTGCCAGATCTGTAAGATAAAGTGTTGTAGCAGGCTTGAACCAAGCAGAGTGGTCTCTACGTAAAGACTTATGATGGGTGTAAATATCTCCAGTGAAGAGCTGTAACAAGGCCTGGGAGTGAGAAGGAAGCTCCAGAATTGGAGATTTAATTCCAAATAGTTTCTGACATAGAAAGGGCTTTTGCTGCAGAAATCTCCCTTCAGAACAGGGAAACAGTAAAAAAATTCAGGGAGATGCTTCATTTAAGCTAAAAGTGTGGCTTGGATTTGATTTGTTAACATTTGGACATTTCAGACCTGACAAGTGGCTATAAAATGCCATAACACAGAAATTTTTAATGTCCAGTGGAACTGCTTCATTGATTTCCCCTCAGATGCACACATATGCAGGGGTGACTTCTGCTTTTTACCCCAAGGAGTGTCTGTTTACCCAAAATACAAAAGGTTAGACAGACTTGTCACCTGATTGTCTCTTTTTGGCTGGTTATCTCAGTCTGCTGTCTGTCTAGCAGGAAAAACAGGTGCTGAGCTGTGACAGGCTTTGTAACCATGCAGAGTAAATTGGGGGGCATGAAGCTGAAAGGAGTATAACTTTGTACTAGAGACTGCAATCAAAAAGAGATGAAGAGACTAATTTTGTTAAGAAAATGAGCACGTCAAATAAAATACAGGTTCAAAATATTTGTTCCCTTGAGAAACTTTATGGTCTAAATTTGACATAGACTGTAGCAAGTATCCAAAGAACTGCCATATGGAAGAATAGCAGCTTGTGTTAAGATCATACACTTAACAGCTTAATTTCTAAATTTCTATTGAGCAATGTCTCAATTCAGCAGCAGAAAAAGGGTGCTTCTTGGGGAGACTTGAGTAAGAAAGGAATGGTGGGACATTTTTTAGTAGATCTCAAAATTGCAGGTGCAAAAAGAAAGGTTGGGAAGAGCTGTCTGTAGTGGGGTGTGAGATACAAATCCAGGTGTAAACAAAACTATTTCAGTTTGTTACTCAATGGTGAATTTACTGCTGGAACTGACTAAATCAGATATTTTCAATGTCTCACCAAAGAAATGACCAGTTCAAGGAAGGGTAAATAACACTGACTTTTTTTTTTTTTTTCTTAAAAAAAAAAAAAAGTTGGACAGGAATTGAATTATCACTGCAGTTCTGTACACAGTATAGAGTAGGTGTTAGCAACACTCTAGTTTGTTGTGCTACACCCTTTTTATTTTCCCTTTCCTCAAATTAAAGTTTAAACATTAGAACCATGCAGAATCCAAGCTTTGCAGTTTCTCAGTGAGACAAGGTGTTGTTGTGATGTTCATGGTGTGTTGTCTCTACATCAGTAGCTACCAGTGCTCCCAGACTGCAGAGATCCCTGGGAGCTGCTTCCTCTCAGGAGACTGGAGCTGCCAAATCTCAGCCCTGTGGTACACTATTCAAAATCAGTCCACTTAGCACCTTTGACTTAGAGCTGCAAGGGGCTGACACCCACTGGAAGGTGACCTGGAAAGCCTTACAGGAACAATGTCCGTACAGGAGAAGCTGATAGAAAATATTTTCAGCTTCCAAATCTTTATGAGGATCTTCCTGAATCAAGTGCTGGGTTTTTTGATATCAACACTGTGATAAGCAGAGAATTGGATCTGTAATGGCAGAAGATGGCAGGCATTAAACTGAAATCTGAAAGGGTAAAAGGGGAAAGTAACAATTTCAAAGTTAGTGGAGACTACATGCTCAAAATAAGGAAGGGATGGCTGCTTTTGTTTTAAATAGTCATCCTCCCTTAATCCACAATAAAGCGCAGGATGAACTATGAGAAGAATATGTTAAGGGTGGGAAGGAGAATGATGAGGGAAATAATAATCATCTGTAGAGAAAGTATCCACTCAGGATCCCAAAATCCTGCTCTTTTAAAGAAATGTTGACTTCAGTTCTCTATGGATTTGGAGAGGAAAAATCTCTAAAATTCTATTTGATTTGAAGTTACTGGGGGAAATGCTGTTGCTGGATTCTCAGTACTTCAAACAAATCATGAGTATTGATACTTTGAATATTTCATGTGTTGACACATGAAATATTGATCGATAAATATAACATTAGATTAGATAAACTCCAGTGTCTCATCTTCAGCTCTGCTGTGTTATTGTGTGTAAACTCAAGGGCTGTTTTTTCATTTAGCTGGGGCATATGTGAACAGCTCTTCACCTGTGTAGGAATCAATTACAAGTCCTTCTGTGTTCACAGGTTTTGGATGCAGTCTGAGTCCAAGTATGAAGAAGAGATGCCTTCTCTGCACTGGGGGATAGATCCTGTATTTTCTGCATTTGCAAGACTCTATATTAAAGATATTATAGAAATGAGAGAATCTAAACAGGTGCCAGGTATGTATTTATATGTGCTGATTATGATACACAATGTTATAATTGATTTATGTTGTGCTTTTTATCAAGGGATTGAAGAATACTTCGCAAACATCAGTAAAGTAGTTTTCCATGTGCTTAAGCTAAGTAACATTAATATCTTTTTAGGTTGTATGTGAAATGTATATGAAAAATAAAATTTATTTGTTAAAATGGCTTTTCCTTCTCTTCAGAACTTCTTTTACATTAAGGTAATGTGTTTCCTCTCTGTGGTAATGCTTGTTATATTCTGATAAAGTTATTTCTTAAAAATTCTGGTTCTTTCTGGCCATATGTGTTGTTTTCTCCCCACTGTCTCTACATATTTTGGAAAATTTTGACTGTTGACATCACTGGATGTGATTTTGCTTTTTCCTATGGATATTAGTACATTAGAAAACAAATACAAATTTTGAAGTTTTGTCTCCTTAATTTTTTATTATGATAGATACATGATATTCTTCATACATCGGAACAGCCTTATTGTAAATTCTGGCCTCCATGCTGGACCTTACTCCTTGTCTGCTTTGCAGTCTGTGTCCTGTTGGTTTGCAGTGTCACCCACATGTGAGCTTTGGCTGAAGCAACATGGCTCTGACCTTGGATTTCTGTTTTCACTACACAGACTTTAAATATACTGCAGTGTGTCTTCTGCTGTGGAAGGGTTCATTAGTCCCAACTAATGAACCCAAGTTGACACAGTGCAAGATTATCAGGGAGGAACCCAAAGAACTTAGAATTAATGAGGAAAAGCAATAAGCCCTAAGTACAGTTTATGTCTTTGGTTTGGTTTTGATGTTTTGTTTGTGGTTTTTATTTTTTTCTGTCCATGGAGACTAAGTACCCCTGTTTGGCTCCTTGATATGCTTTGCTTGTAGGTTTTGTTATTCTTCTTCAATTTTCTTTAACAGCAAGGATAACAGCAGTGCTATTTTTGGAGAAATGAAGGACTGGCAGGTTTTTTTTCTCTTCTTGCAACTATTTTTATGTACATAAGGACTTCACAAACCACAAATTATCTATCTATCTACCTATCTATCTGTCTGTCTATCTATCTATCTATCTATCTATCTATCTATCTTTGTTATTTAACATGGCAGGCGAGTTTTGTCTTAAATCCATTACAGTAATTAGGCTGCAGACTTGTTGATATTTGTCCTACAGTAAGTTTTATTTAGAGGCCTTTTTGAACTGTCTTAAAATGTCTTCTAGTAGTACTGCTGTAGGAAATGCATCTGGTAAAAACTGTTCCTCATCAGTTAGAGATATTTTAATTGTTTTCAAACAAAATACAACACAATTCAATGCCAGCAGAATTGGATTGTAGTTTAGACTTGAACATCAGTACATACACGTGTGAAAATGTATTGAGAATAATTAACCTTATGAACACCAACAAACATTTCATGGTAGCAGGAAAAGTCCTAGAAAGTAAAGTCCTGCTCTCTTTTTTACCTTCAAATTACCTGAATTTCCCTTCTTACTTCTCTTTCTGTTCTTTTACTTAACTGAGTTGACTTCTGCTTCAGGAACTTTTTCAGTTTTGTTATTACCCTTTTTTTCTAAGATGATCCTAAGGAGGTTCTGTCATATCAAGATATCAGCCTTTACAGTTGGTACATTTGATCTTTCTCCACTTCCTGTGCATCTGGCACTCTGCACGTTTAAGCTTGCTTGCAATCCTGTATCATTTTCTAAACCAACTTCAAATAAAATTATTTTTTCTAGAACCAACATCTTGAATTTTGTTTATTCTCCTGCTGCTGTATATATACCAAACCAGACATTTTTCAGTGTGTCTTAATTGTTGGCAACAAATGATAGCAAAACAAAACCACTAAAATTAATACCTTTTGGGGAAGGAAGAACGTAGGTGTTTGTTGTCAATGCTTCCTGCATTTAATGGGCTTTTAAAGACCAGCTGAAGCTAAGTATATGGTTGGCTATAAATCAGTCATTAAGTAATGGTAATTAAGAATGAATGAGTGCAAAACAAAAAGTTGTAACTAGGAAAAATGGAAAGAAAAACAGACTGAATGTCAGGAAAAAGATCCCTAGAATGACATCTGTTAGACCATGGCACAGCCTTCCCAGGAAAAAGGTGGGATGCCCTTCACTGGGATTGTTTATATCCTGACTGTACAGATATTTTATTGCCAGGAATTTACTGTACAAAATGGTCTTGTATTGGCCCTGAGGAAACGGACTGAATGACCTAATGAGTTTTTTCTTTCCACTTTTAAGCATTAAGATTTGGTGCCACAGTGACTAATCCCTTAAAACGACACAGAGGGAAGCAGTAAACCTGGCCAATTACTCTGCTGCTATAAATGGTGACAAGAAGGCTGGAAAAGCTCCCAGATAAAAACAGCAATTGTGGTGTTTTAGCAGCCTCGCAATGAGAGTGGGTGTCAAACTCCATTGTAACACATAATCACATCATAGAAATGAGTTTTCTCAGAGTTATCATGCACCACTGCTTTGTGACAGTTTATCAACAAGCAAGGGAAACTACAAATAGCATAAAAGGAGGTAATAATCATTAAAGGAATGGCAAACAGCACAGTTATGCTAGTACAGACATGATCAGAACTTGCCCTAGAGAGCCCTGTATCTATAGCCCCCTCTAGCACTGCTGTGACTGTTGTGGTAATGGCATTCTGCTCTGTCTGTTGATTACTGGGTTATTAGGAACCTCATTGAATGTGTTTGTCCACAGCTTCAAATATTTAGTATATATTTATTGCTACCAATATGGACTTAATTTGAAGAAATAAACTGGCAGGAGGAGTAAGTTACACCTTGAAGTCATCAAGTCTAGCAACTTCTAATAGGTTAAATATAATTTCATTCTTCAAATTTATTTGGGTAGTTTCTCTGACAGTAAGGGTGGAGTTCTACGTGAATTTATGGGTATGGAGAAAACCAGTTTTATTTGGTATCTGTCATCTGCCAAAACTCAGCTTACTAGCTGGGAAACAAACATAATAACATGTTGCTTGTTTGCATAATCAGGAGCTTGGAGTCTCTGCTCCACAGACTTACACTGAAACTAGCCCAGACCATTTACAGAGATGTTGTATGATTTGGTGAATGGCTACATACACTGGGAGCATCTCCACTGGGGGTTTCTCTAGCAGTGTTTATTTGTGCTCTGGCAAATGAAATGTGAGACAAGTGGACAGACCTGCTAATCATTCTTTATGCCTGACCTGACCAGTGACTGCATAATTAGTATAGACAGATCTGAGATGATAACCATAGATGCATCCTCAAAACATTGCCATGGATTTTTATGAGCAAAATTTCTGCTTATGAGCTGCTTGGCTGATCACCTCTGATCTCTTCTGAAACTTTTGTGTTTTCTCTCTGTCTTTCATGAAGTTAATTCCAGGCTCATTTAAGGCTGCTTGCTATGTAGGACAAGTTATTTTTGGATTTTGGATTTAGGGTTTTTTTAATACAGAATACTTTTCTGACTCCCTTGCTGCTGTGTTTCCCTTTGTAAGAATAACACTTGCCACGGTGTATGGAGCCAAATGTTCCTTTCTGAGTCCCTCGAGTTATCTAGTTTTCAGAAGACAGTTATTGAACATCCCAGATGGCTTATTTCAGTAAAGCAGCAGTATTTGAAAACTGAAGACAACACATTCACTGAAAACTAGCCAGCCCGGGGTATATTTGGAGCTTATTGCCCTATTTTCCTCCTGCTGCTGAACTGTGAAGCCTCAGTGTATGATGTTTACATTAGTGTTTGTTAACAACATTTGTCACTCTCTTGAAAGGGATTACAAAGTGAGGCAACCTCAGTGCTGTCAGAGTCCACTGGGCTGTGATTTCTCACTGTTTACTGGACATGTTTCTAAGTGTTATTTAAGTTATCTTTATAGATGCACAAAAATAGCTTTGAAGGGATGTTTTTAGAACGCATGTTTTCAGAAACTGAAGTTCAGGATGCAGTCCACAATGACTGCAGTAGTGTACTCTGCAGTCTGAGAGAGCTGTTGATCTCCCCCTGCCCCCACGGCTCCTGTTCTTCTAGAAATGAAAGACAGAATTATGTTAGTTTTCCTTTTGGAGGCTCTGCCTTAATCAGGAACAGCTGCATTGTGAGAAGCTCAAACTGCTTCCTTTGTGTTCTATTATTTATTCTGAAGGCTTATGAAGATATAAAAACCAAACCAAACAACAAAGCAAAACAAAAAGCCAAATGAAACAACAAAATAAACAAACAAAAACCACCTTAATGCTTGCAACAAACAGGGTTTTTTTTCAGATCCAAATGTGCTAGAAAACAAGAGGTTAATAAGATTCTGACACTCTACAAAAGCAAGCTTTTGCTATCCTAAGTAAAGCTGATACTTTTTCCTTTTAGTGTTCCTACTCTTCAGTGATACAGGGAATTTTTCCTGTGTGGGCACTGTATAATTTAAGATATATTAAAGATGTAAGAAAGTATGTTTTTTTACTGAGAAATGTGACTATGTAGGGTAGGGTGTTGAAAGAATTGTTACACTAATCAAGCATGTTTTGTGTCTAGGTATATTCTTTTATAATGGCCATCCGATAAGACAGGTGGATGTTGTTGGGATAGTGGTTCAAATGAAGGAGCGAGACGCCTTTTATAATTGTGGAGGTAAGGAAAATGTCTTTCTTTCTTCCTTCTTGCACTCACCAGACTTTAATCTTAGTTACTGTTGGAACTGAAAGGTTTCCTTATTTGCTCATTGTGTATTCTTGAAACAAATGTGCTCTTATCCTAATCTGTATATCTACAGCTGAGATTACTTGGCAAACGTAGGGAAACTACTGTTTATCTCCAAAAATAGAGAATTAAATAGTTAACACAGAGTAATTGATTCATGTGGGGTTATATAGCAAATCTTCATTTTGGTGCTTTGTCACTGGACTCTGCCACCTTCCTCTCCTATTTCCAGTCTCTTTGGTCCGATGCAAATAAATTTAACAGTGCCACAAATGGGAAATCACTTCTTCCATATTGGAACCTTAGAAATCTCTTCTGACTTTTTGTATGTCTTGTCATATCTTGGAGCCAACTTCTAACAGCAATCAGGAGCTTGTTTATGTTTAGATGCACAAGAGTCTTAACAAAAGAACTCAAGCATCATAGTACCAGTCCTTGCCGACACCAGCTGGGAGTTGTCTCCTCTGTATTGCTTTTCTCAGTATTCAGTTTTATTAACATGGAAACATCTGATTGTCATTTTGTTCAGCTGTCTTTTACATCTGGAGAAAAAGCAGAGTGGAGCAGTGGTGATGTGGCAAGTTTGAAAAGGTAGGGGGAGGTCACTCAGTAGGAAGGGGGAGCCAAATGCACAGATCCTATTGAAGCTCTTATGGCCAGTGTCTTCCTCTGCCATGGATTTTCCCGTGGTAGAGGTGAGTCACAGAGTGCCTCTCCTTCCCAATTCCCTTGCTTGTAAAAGTGCAGTTCCCTGACCCTCAGGAGTACTGTGAAGATACAGCTGATGAATTTCCCAGCATCAAACTGCTGCAGAATGGCATTGACTGCAAATGCATTTATCACTTCATGAGAACAGAGGAAGATGGAATCAAAATGGCCAAGACAAAACCAATTCTACAGTTAAGGGTTTTCCATGCTGCTCTCAACATCAGTTTAACAACTAAATCTGTTGAAAATGTTTGACTGGGACAGAAAGTGGAGGAATATAAATAAAAAGAAACTGCAGAGTAGTGGAATTAAGGCTTTAGATCAGCCGACCTTCAAGTGCAGCTCACATTAAGCCTGGCTTCCTGCTGTCCTTTCACGTCCAACTCCAGCCTTTGTTCCAGCAGTTCCTGGTTTGAGTTTTCAGGCTACCTGCCAGGTTGCCTCTCCCCAGCCTGCCCTCCCTTTCAGGCAGGCCGACTCCACCAGTGCAAAATTGTAACTTCTTAGACAGTTTCCTGCTTGTAACTTCTTGCATCTCTCAGTTCAACAGACTCTGGTGAGTCACAGGGGTTGCATCAGTTGGAGTGCGACACTGCTCAGGACTTGCTCACTTTCCATCTGCTTGAAAGCGACTTACAAAGCAATTCCCTCCATGTACTTTCCCTCTGATAGGGAACTGAAATGTCTTTTTGTCCCTACCATGATCCTCCCGCCTCATTTCCTATCTGTCTGCTTCAGAATACACATCACTCACTTTAAAAAATCTTAGGTCCTCTGCTAAAAACTCTACAACCAGAACTAATGATGAAATTATAATTGTAAAAAAGAGATAATTTACTCTTTCCTGACTTAAAAAATAAAAATACATGCTGTGTAATCTGATTTTGACACTTCGATTGTTTCTTGCTATTATTATGATAAGTTAGGAGAAAGATATCTAATTAAAACATAGCTTTGATCAAGCTCATATTTTACCTAATGCACCTTTCTGACATTTTTTTCCCTTTCCATCTTAACAAAACCAAACATCACATGTGGTTTTCCTTGTACTCCAAAACTGACTTGAAAGACTGAAAGGCAGTTGACTTAAAATCAACTCAAATGAAAAATAAAACCACCAGCATCTCAGTAGGTTCATGCAAGCCTGACAAGAACCATACCCTTTTTGTCATAAAGAAATAAAAATTTATACAATTATCTCATTTAACAGGTAGCTTTGAACTACCCCTCAAATAATTAAGCAAGACTCAAAGAAACCAAAGCCAAACAAACAAAAACCAGGAAAATAAACCCCAACAAACAAAAAGTAAACCCACCAAAAACCCAAATAAACAAAAGTTAAAACCCAAAGAGATGAGGAAGGGCGGCACAGGGAGTACAGGAAGTTTTCAAAAGCTTGTAGACCCCTTGAGTGCATTTAAAATAGATTAACATTCTCTTGTCTAATTAGAATACAATTGCAAGAGTTCTCATTCATGTGTGCTTCAGGAGTTACTTGTCTTTTTGCTCAAAGCTTTCATCTGTGAAATTGCAAAGCTTTGTTTCAGAACCTTGCTCTGCTACCAGCTTCCTTGCATGATCAAGTACAGGTCAGTCTCTCCAGGACTCTGTTTTCAGCTGTTACATTGAGGAGGAGGAGTCTGGCCTCTTAATCCTTCAGTCTTACTTGGTTTGTTTCCAAGCCCTTCTTAGGAAGCCTGTCTGTCTCAGCTGGTGCAAGCTGGAACATCTAGAAACTGTGGGAATGCAAGAGTGAAATGTTATCTGCCCTGCTTCTTGTTGCCATTGCTGGCTTGCATGGATGGCTTGGCATTGCTTATGAGGGTTCTGATTCCTACTAAAATAGTTGCTGTCTGTCTGTATCAAGGAGAGGAAATCCTACCACCAGATTGTTACCTGTGCTCTGGTACAAAATTAAAGCTGCTGAAATAGTTGCAGACACAGCAGCTCAAAACAGAGGTAGCAGAGAGGAGCATACTTTTGTGATGCAGTTTGGAATTGCCTGCATCTTATAAGTGCTGTAAGTTTGCTAATAAGAATGTGCAGCTAAACTGCTTGGAAACAGGAAGGCAAGACAATGATTTGAAATTAGACCCCCCCCAAACAGGGAGATTGTTTTAAAACACGTGAGACAATGCAAAGGCATTTTGCTTTGATGCTATGGTTCCCAGAGGAAATGACTGCAGGTACCAGTCAGCACCTTTGTGGAAAACATTGCTGTTACTTTTTTGGTCATGGACCTGGTTTAAGGAGCAGAAGAAAATTGCAGGTTTCCTTTTGTGAGGAGCGGAATCTCAGTCTTGGAGATGTTACATTCAAGAAGCAAGGTGCGTTAGCTGGATGATCCTTGACAGACACTTAGTGCCTTCTATTTAGAGTGTTTGTTGTACAGACCATCTATGTACAGTCCCTTATCAATAGAAAATTGATTCTTCTGACAGACTTTAGTTTCCTTTGAGTTTTATCTTTTCCTGCTCTCATTGACAATGCAGTGCCTGGAGCAGAAATTGTAAAATTTATTTTCATTGGACACTGGCAAAACAGGAAAAACAGCTCCGTGCTCAGGAGAAGGTGTTGAGCCTTTTCAGCAGCGGAAGTGGCGTGCATGCCACCAGCACCTACACTTTAAGTTGGGAATTCCTGGCTTAGAGCAGAACCACAAGCATGTACTGTCTTCTGTCCTTCCTGCCTAGAGGAGCTGCCTTTCTGCTCCCTGGACATCACCTAATATTGGAAAGACCTGTAGACTTTGAGCATGATATTGGCATGGAAACCAATGCAGCTGCAGGTAGCTGCACTCCTGGTTTATTCACATGGTTGATTCCCCAAATGTTGGAGTGCTGTTTTCTCACTGTAATAGTATAGTAACGCTTCTGTGGTTTGTGCCTAGTTCCTATTTTAATTTGTCTGACTTCAGCCTTCAACACTGATTCTTCTCTTGATCTTGTCAGTGAGATTGAAACCCCTTAGTATCCAATATATGTACTGAAGCCTCATAATTTAAATTAGTGTATGATCTTTCTTTGATAATATACCTGTTACTTTGCTGATTATGCACGTAGGCACATCTGGTGCTGAGCTACTGCCATGTCTGAAACAACTGTGGAAATTATTTCAGATATGTTAGTAGAGTTTGGACACCCACTTTACCTTCCAAACCAGTTGGAATGAGATATCCTCTTCAGTTATCTCCCTACATATTTATGTATCTTCACTTCTGGGAACATGACTGCCTGCTTTCCTAGTCAGTAATTCTTGCAATTTTTTTTTTTTTTCCAGTGGATGATAGTACTGGAGTTATAAATTGTGTCTGCTGGAAAAATCCCATGGTAGCAGAAACACCTTTATCAGGTAATTTATCAAATGAGCAAGTCCTCTTTTGACTGTATGTTTTTACTTACATCTGTCTTAAATAATTTAGTAAGTGATCAAACTTGCAGAATAGCAAATTCAACTGTTCCATTTTTTTATTATTTTTTATTTTTAATTTTAAACTACCACATCATACTGCCTTGGGGCATTTTGGGAATTTTCATTTTTGTGTTGTTTTCAAGGGTGATGCCAATAAAACTATTACATTATGTCCTGTCCCTGCCTTTTCCTTATTTGAGTAATATGATATTTTAGTTCTGTGCTGACATTGTTCAGAGAATTTGCCTAAGGTTATTTCTGTGACTTCATCTAGTAAGGAACTAGGCTGGAAATGTGCCAGAGCTTCTGTTTCCAAAGTTAGTCCATTGACCTACCCTTGTGATTATGGTTTCAGGATTTATCCTTGCTTTGTTTGTATTCATATACTCCTGCTCATACAGACACTGTCAGCAATGAACTTGAAAGTAGCTTCAAACACAGTGGGAGGATGCCAGCAGTCTTTTACAATTTGGGCAAGTCCTACGTGTGCAGTAATTGTGCATTTGAAATGAATGTATTATTGTACTCACTAAGAGAACAACTCACTAGTGTCTGGCTGTCTCTTTGCTTTTTCTCCCACTGTTTCTTGCTGATAAAAGTGCAGAATTCTTTCTACTTTGGATCTTCTTGGCCCATGTAGTGGATTGACAACCCTAATATGGAGCTGATCAAATGCTACTGAAATAAATCTTACTGGTGTCAACTGCAGTGTTAGGGATACATATTAATAGAATGGAGAAAGGAAAGCTTGATGTAAAAGTTAAAAACTCTGATGTCTGTGGAACAAGCCCATTTATACAGACAGATAATTCATCCTTGTATTTAAGAATCATATGACAGGTGGTACAAATGGTCCTAACCGGAATGTGGATGACAGCTCTCACTTTGGAGTGGTGATGATCTGGCACAGCTCTCAGAAAAGGAGACATGCAATCAAGTCAGTTTTGAGGAACTTAAATGAGGAACTTAGATGCATTAAAAGGAATTGCATGAAATACTGCTTGAAATAGAATAAGGGCCAAGAATGCTTTTCAGACTTGTATTCTGATTTTACACATACAGCAGTAGTGCTTGGATGGACACTATGCTAAGAATGGCAATTCGTTCATTTGTACCTGCTAAAGAAAGCTCTTAGGGGGCACAGGAAACTTTCTTCCAGCCTTTTGTAATTGTGATCAGGGATACTTGGAACATTAATCAGGTTTTAAGTTATGAAGGATTTAATGTCCTACAAAGTTGTGTTATGTAAACATGAAGTTCTGTCAAGTTGCATTCACCTCAGTGTAGACATCAAATTGCATCACATGAATGCTTTGGCCCCACCTCAGATGACTCATTCTTTTATATAAAAAGTTCAGCTGACTTTTCTTTTCCCTTCTCATCCATCTTAGCATGACAAAACCAAAAAATTACAAAAAACAATTTCAAATTTATGTTTCAATTTTGCAACTCATCTATGACGTTTTCAGTGGTTAATCAGTATTTTCTCCCTTTTATATTTTCCCCAGGTGAACAATTTAAATAAATATAATACAGTAAACCAACTTTATCACCCAGAAGTTTTGCTACCCAGGTAGCACATGGTTCCTGGAGCCTTACCCTTTTTTAGTAATATGACTCATGTGGTGCTTAGGTGGATGAATGCAAAAGGACAATTAATGCACTGACTTTAGTGCCTGATTCCCTTTCCCTCACTTCTTGCAGGTCAGCCAAGTACAGCGAGCAGTCTCAATGTGTTTGAACAGATGAAGAAACTCCAAGAAACAGTAAGCCAGAAAACCAAGCTGGCAATTGGAGATGTCGTCAGGGTCAGAGGTCACATCCGAACCTATAGGCAGCAAAGAGAAATTCAGGCTTCATGTTTTTGTGAGTGTTATGAATTTGTGATATATGTAACTAAGATGTCTGAATCTGTGAAAATGTCTGAGCTGTATGTAATTAGTTTAATAGTTCCACTTTATTTTCTGGCATCTCATTTTTCTAAGCATTTTCATCTGTATATCTTTATTTCAACTGTGACAGCATAAGGTTAGAAGACACACTGTGTAATGTGTGAGATTAGATCTCCTGTAAACGAGGCTTTCCTGGAAAAACTGTAAAAGCTGATTAGCATGCATACAAGAATACTGTGCAGATCCTGTGGCTGGGTGTCTGCAAGAATGATTTGCACTTCAGATTTCTCTGTGTTGAAGTAGAGCAGGCAAAGCCTGTGGGAAAGGAGCTGGTGGACCTTCTGTGTCCCACTTCACCAAGGGCACTGAGGGCTTTAAAGAAGTGGCTGCTGTTTGGCACAGCCTGTACAATCCATTCCATGGGCAGGCAGCAGCATATGGGCAGTGTCCCACTGAAGCCTGGCCTCTCCTAAGCTCCCTGGCTCTGCAGGATGAGGGAGAAGTATTCCTCAGGCACAGATCTGCATGCAGGTGCTGCTTCTGTGTCTGACAGCTCTTTGAGCAGCCGGGCTCTGCAGCCCACGGCTTGTGCTCTGGGAACTTCCAGTTGCATAACTTCTTCTCAGTTCCGTGTCTGTGCTGTTGTGTAAGAGTTGGTTTTCTCCAGTGAGATCTTTCAGAGATAACAATGAAATTATTTCTTTAGTGAAGCAAAGCCTGTCTTTTGAAAACCCTGGGTAAGTCAGATAAAAAGTCTAGATTTTTCAGCTCTAGCTTAAATTTGCAAGGGAGTTCAGCCCTCCTTCCCAGACAGAAGATTTATGAGTATATACAACCCATTCATGGGTTGGTAATAATACCAAAGAGAGCCATGCAATTCAAATAGCCTCTAAATTGCTTTCACTTTGGCCCAAATAAAGCTCCTTACTATGTGCTAACTTCATTTAATGGATAAAGATTGCTGAAAGGTAAATTAGAGGTCATAAATTCTGGTTAAATAAGTTGTTAGACAAAAGCATAATCTGTAATGCACCACAACAGGCCATTTTACCTCCTTGTAAACTGTAAAAGAAGGATTGGCCTTTGTGGTGATTGTTTTGATTTTTTTTATATGAAAACCACAGTGAACAAATTTTGCCAATTTAATACTGGCTGTGAAGCTCTGCTGTGCTGCCTCAGGTTTTCTTGCTAAAAAAATTGTATGGTAGTCCTGGCTGGGTCTACATGTTCTCATTGCCTCTCCAGATAAAGTGGATGATCCCGTGTGTGATGTCCAGATTTCAAGAATGCTGGAGCTCCCCTCTCTCTATAGAGAAGTTTACGATAAACCTTTCAAGGGCCCTGAGGAAACACTGAGGTAAATGCAGTATCCAGAACAGCTCCTGGGGCAAAGTATGGGATATTATGATTGTTTACTTGTTGTAATAACTCTGGAAAAAAAACAAACAGGGTCTGACTATGATTTAGACTGCATCAATGTATAGTAGCAGTCTGCTTTTCTGCCAAATAATTGGTGATCCATACAGATGAGATACCTGTCCATAATCTGAGGAAAGACATATAACGCTAAACTAAAGTGAATATTAGGAAGAAAGTAAAATACTCTTTCATCTAGTGAAAAAAATAGGATTTAGAACAAGACTTGAGGCTGAGGTCAGCAGAGAGGATGGAGAAATATCCTTGCCTGATGTTGTTTTGTGTGTAAGGTTAAGGAGCTATTCCACTGAAGTGCTCTCCTGCCCTTGTCATTGTCCAATCACAAATACATAACCTCAATAACCTCAATAATAAATAATAAAAGTGAGTCAAACACCCACTTCTGTACTCAGTTTCAGGGTAGCTAGATGCTTATTAGGAGGCCTGGTGCATTTAGTGTTGTTTCAGAGACTGCAGATCTTAAGTTCACAAAACCGTAACAGGAAATGATTGAAGGACAGTTAAATGTTTATGTTTATAAAAATGTGCTTTTTTAAATAAGGCTTTAAATTCAAATTCTTTAAGGACAGTAAAACTCTTTTGAAACCAGTCAAGTGGACTGACTTTATATAATTGTTCTAAAACCCATTTCTTGTCTTTTGACATGTTCTTTTGACATCCTTGTAGTGGCCTGGAGGGTCAGAATTTCTCAATCCATCTGCTGCATGAGCAAGTGCAAAGCTTTCTATTAGAAAACAAAATTCAGACCTTTTACCAGCAGGAGTTGGAAACAGTTGATTCTCTGGTGTCTCTGGCTGGTGTGCATCTACCCAGCCCCAGCTGTCAGGAGGTGAGTGAATGCAACTGTTTCAAGCTTTCAGTGGGGGGGAATAATACTGCTTTATTTAAGCATAAACAGATAAGAGACCTGTGTCTTCAGAGGATTCAAAAACCACTAGTGCTTTAGCTTTACACATGAATTATTTACAGAGCTTGAGGAAATCTTGTTACTTTAGACATATAAAATTGGGCTGAAAAAAGTAATGTAAGAACATTCTGTTATTAGGGGTAATCTTGTGGTAGGGTTGAACAATCTTACAGCCTGCCATAGTCACTACTTTATTTAGATTTGTAATTGGTAGCAGTGTCAGAAAAAGAGATCCCTTTAAGGTGCTTGAGTTCTCTGGGACATAGTTTTGAGATCCTGATTCTGATCAGTAGAAGGGAGCACAAAATCTTTGTCTTGTTTCTCATTTGAAGCTCAATAGATCAATAGAGATGCAGCTTTCAAGAAGAGGTTATGATGGGTGGATGAACAGTGCTCCCTGCTACATGTTTCTTACATTGGAAATCCCTAATTGTGAAAGGCCATGTTTGAAAGGATGAGAAAGTGGGATTAAATTGAAATCAGTTTATAGGCAGTTGCATGTAACCAAACTGTTAAACTTTCCAATGAGTTCCAACCTCTTGATCAGCTGCAGAATGGGAAACAGAACAAAACTTGTTTTGTAAAATGGCTTTATATTAATCTGTATAGGTTGGATAAATTATGAACCAGATTCTCAACTGGTATGAAGTGATAAATTTCTGAAAAGCTTACGTTTACGTCTTTCACCATGAAAGCAATGGCAATTGAAACTTCAGCTGGAGTGTTGTGATTCATTTGTTTACCTTTTTGTTTTCTGTAAAGAAATAAATCCCTGGCAGCCATTTTCACCCCAATTTTGATGTGCATAGTAATGTTTAGTGCTATGTTATGTTGACTTCTAATGTTTGTTTAGTTCTTAAGAAACCCAAACAAAATAACACAAAAATCAGTCTCTTGCAGATGAGGTCAAATAATAATGAAAAGTAACTCTTTTCTTGTTGGCCTTGTCGAACTGCTGTTGATAGCTGTTCTTGATAGCTGGGTTTGGTTGTTTTTGGTTTTGTTTGGGGTTTTTGTTGTTGTTTGTTTTGTTTTGTTTTTATTTAAGGCATTTTTTTGTTTGCTTTAAAACAAGCATGGATAGTGCCACTAACAGGAGCTATTCTCATTTTAGACACGAAAGTTTGCTAGTAGATTATCCAACATGGCACCTGGTATTTTCTAAACTAGCTGGAACAGTATTAAAAGTTTCCAAACACTTTCCATTAAAGGAAGTAGTGGCCATTGTGTCCAATATTGGAAACTTAAACATTTCAGCATTTATAGAAAGACCAAGATAAATAATTTACAGAGTCATTTAAAATAGGAACTGGTGCAGAACAAACACAAAAAGACCAAAAAAAAACCCCAAGAAGACTCAACCTGAACAAAACACCAACCAGCCAAAAAAAAAAAAACAACTCAAAAACTCCAAACCAAGAAAAAGAATGTATCATCATTGTTGTTAGCAGTCATGAAGAGCTATCATAATAATTAATAGTTTCTCCTGGCCCTGATGCAAGGATGTGAGTATATGTCCCAGGAATTTGGGTGCACAGATGCTTATTTAGAAATTGCAGTTCTCCCTGTTGTCCTTTACTATTAATTTCTTGCAAAGGTTACCTGTTCTTGCATAAGAAAGGACCTGCAGTTGCCAAGTGGCATGAAAGCCTTAAGAGGAGTGCCTAGTAATGCTCTGGAAATGTTCCTTGTTCCTCTGCTCTGTCTCTAGAAGGTGTCACTTTTCGTAATTGGCAAAGGGTCAAGTATCCAGTTCTATCCACAAAAGTAAATGTAATAGATCTGATTTCTGTCCCTCTTCCTTTCTTTTCTCTTTGGTAGTCTTTTGTTTTGCACTGCCCTCAAACCAAGAGGATAAATGGTGCTGCTGATGTGGAACAATGTTACTTCAGGCCTATTTGGCAAGGCAGGAGCTACAGAACTGACTCAGCTAATTAGACCATGCCACAATATACACTCTTGTTCACTTCTTGTATTTTCCTGGTTGTAAAAGGATGAGTTATTTGGATATATAGGTAATTTTTTAAATCCTAATTCCAGTGTTCTAGAGCATAACTTGATGTTAAACTGTTTGTTTCCTTTGTCTTCCTTTCCTGTGATCCTAGAAGAGGTGGTGCACCCCTTCATCTCTTTCCCAACTTTTAAAGTACTTGCATGGTGTTCATCATAGTGGGAGGGTGTCTCCCCATGGAATATTTTCTCCAGGGAGGTGATGAGCTGCTGTGGAGTCACTGCAGTGGGGTGGAGCAGAGGATGAAGATGGAAGGAGTTAGCTGGGATGCTTTGAGGTAGGCAGCATCTCTGTGTTCCTTTTCAGCAGTACTGTGCAGCTGAGCCCTGTCCACATCCCATATATGTCCTACAATACCTCATTCCAGTTCTGATACCTCCCTGGCAGTGCAGTCTTCTGCCTCTCTGGAATAAATTTCCCTATAGCAGGTGCACCTGGCAGGACTGAAATAATTTCTTCCTCTTAGACATATACTAGGGAAAATTTAATTCTATAGTCTACAGATTATGAGGAAGTTAATTTAACTACTTCTAAAAATAGTTAAAAATTAACAAATCTTCTATGAGTTCTAAAGCCACTGGAGCTTTCATTTGCATTACCAGTGCCCCATCTGTCCCTAAGGATAGATAAGCCTTTTCCCTGTCCCTTAAAACAAGTGACTTTTGAGGCTGGAAGGGTGGGTACCAGAAGGAAGACTACAAGTAAAAGAGGAAAAAGTAGTTTTGTGCTTAGAGAGCCTCCAGAGTGTACTTTCTGGACTTAGGCAATTATGTTTGGTTAATGGACAAGCCTTTGGCTCCTTTTTTAAAGAAAGCTACGTGTTAAGTGGATCCATTCAATTTCTCAACTGAATTAAATGCTTTAAACCAGCCAGTCTTGATTAAAAATATTTCTGCCCTTCTGCCATGCATAAGCTATAATGTGTGCTATTTTAGTGCTACCATTCCAGTTCGTGAATGTCACTGGCTTGGACACGTAACTTGGGTTGTGCTTTCCAGAGTGTGCTGTTTGTACTTCTCTTGATTTGAATATTATCTCAAGGTCACCAACGAGAAGTAGTTGAAGCAGGAAGTTTTGCAGTGTTGTTCACACTGTCTGTGTCTACCCTGTACATTGTGCTGTAGGTGTAACACAGTTCATTGTAAGTTCTTGATGCAGTGTCTTTGTCTTTCTGCCTCTCAAGGAAGCTTCACCACTCCTTTAAATATGTATATTGCAAAGCTTATTATAGGACTTCAGGACTGACATGTCCAGGACCACTATTTACTAAAATTGTCACCTGTCTAAGCCCAGGATTAAACATTACATGAGAAACTGCAAAGAGTGATTCTATTAGTGGAATCACTTGTGTGATTATACCAGGAAACTTTAACACCATCAGGGTGTGATTCATAATGAATCAAAGGTTACATAGTTCCAGTGTTTTGAACAGACTCACTAATTCCTGTACCACTTAACTTCTTTGAACTATTATTGATTGTACAGAGAATTTGTCTTGTTTTAAAGATCTGAGAATAACTGGTTGCACAGCACCAGCCCACTAAGCTGTGTGAGGCCTATCAGATGGAATATATTGATTAAAGTACCAACTTAATTCTGCATACATAGATTCTTCTGTTGGCTTTGCTACAGAGCCCTTGGCCAGTCTTGGGAGTGAGGGTAATGAAAGTAAAATTCTTGTTTAATAGCTGCTTCTGTCTTAGGTTACATACAGACACATGTACACTACATGTTTTTCAAAAGTGATGACTGATTCTTGAATACTCCTATGTTTGGATGTACAGCTTAATTTATTTGAAAACGATCTGATTTTAAAGAGAGGGGGAAGACCCTGCTGTTACTGCTTCAGAGAACCTGAAATGGTGCACCCTGAAACTAAGGCATGCCCAAGGGGGGCACTTTGCAAAAGGAGGTGTGAACGTTGTGAGAGGTATTGGGGAGAGGTGCTACTGGCTTGTGAAATTGCAGGATGAGATGCTGGAGATACTTTGGGTGGACCAAAAGGGCAGACTAAGCAATTTTAGACTGTGATGACAAACTTAATTGCTGCTTTACCCAGAGGAATGGAGAGGAGGAAGCATGTTCTAGGGCACACTAGGAAAAACTCCAATTTTTTCTTGTCATTTTATGGTACTATTAAATATCAATGATATATAATATTTTTGTATTTTAATATATGATATGGTATTAAAGTGGACAGGAGCCCTAATTTGTTTTTCAGCAACAGTCCTTCTGCCATGAAGCCCTTTTCCATGGATTCTGCAGCACATATGAGAGAGTGCTGATATGTAGCAGCTGCTTACTTGTAATAAGGCCTCACTGCTTTCACTCTGTCAATGCCTTGACTTGCATTCTTAGTGATTCTGTTTCAGTATCCATCCAGGCTGAGCTGTGTGTCAGTTCACACAGAGTCTGTTTTTAATTATCTCCCTTTTCTGTCAGGATTTCAGTGCTAAGCCAAACTGAATAATTACTGTGCTTCTTTGGAAATATTTTTATCTTTCTTTTTCTCCCCAAATGTTTGCTTTCACATTAAAAATTGATCAGAGTCTTGAGTTGGTTGCTTTGCTAGCAATTTCTTACATTCTTGAGGATTTATTACGGCATTTGAGTGAGAGGCAAAGTCTCTTCATTTTACATACGGCTATGAGAATGTGCTTTTCTGTAACCAAATATTCACTCTTCACTTAATCCTTCCTGCTGCATTTTATGTTTGTTTCTTCAGTTCATCAGAAGAGGCACAATGAAGAGAAATACCATAATTAGTGGTGTTAATGCTGTGACTGGAACAGTGTCCAGATGTATGGGCAAGTTTGTAATTAGAAGTAGAGTCTGTTGTTATCCAGATTGATGGCTGTGGTGGACAGGAGTACAGACAAGGTTCAGGCACTGAATCCTTCCATCTGAAACAGGGAAAACTGAACTGAGAATAAGAGCCATTGTTCTCTGTTCATTATCTTGAAGTATTTGGCAATTATTTTTACTGAGAGGAAAAGGAGTTAGCTGTTTTGGGACAGAGAGATGTGATTATGGCCTGTTGAAATCTTGAGCGTTATCTCAAGCATTATATCCGGGAGGGAGAAACTTGGGGATGCATGCTAACGTCAATATCCCTTTCGGATCCCCAAACTATTCCCAGTTAGGTACATCAGCTTCCAGGCTGTTGGAGTGTCATTTGAGAACTGCAAATGTATTGAATGAAAGTTTTGTGAAAATATATTCTTCCTTTGCTCTTGAAGTGTCCATTTTGCATATTTGTGTACATTCTTTCTAGTTCATGGTGATTGCCTGCTTCACTCCCAAGGCTTCTGAGCTGCTTCTGGTGAGTGAAGTAGGATTTGTGAAGTCTGATATTTTTGTTCAGAGCAGGGTGGGAGCATTTATAGTGATAGTTGAAGGAATGGCTTGGCAAATCTTGGTTGCTCTGGTGTGGTTCTAGTTATCACATGGTGGTTTGTGAGAAGTAGTTTAGCTCCCTTCTCAGAGAAAACCACAGGGAGCACAGTGTGCTCCCAACAGATGAGAAAACAGCAATTGGGGAACCAAAGCAGTCTGTATAGATAAATGGGAGGTTGAAGGACATAGCAGGACAGATGGATATGGAGAAGAGTAAATCATAGTCTTGCTCTTATCTACCCATACTTTCCCTCTCCACAACTAAATATTTCCTTCTACTTCTTTAGCTGTCATTCTACTCTCTTAGCTCTGCTCTGCTTCTAAACAAACACTGCTTTTCCCTGTTTTTTTTCCCCCTCCCCTTCCTTCCTTCTACTATGCTAGGTGTGTTCCAAACACAGAACCCTGTGTTCTAAGTAACCTCAGTTATGGATTTCCAGGCACATTGTTCTCCTTTCACAAGAAACTAATTTCCCATCTACCCTCAAAACTGAATCCTTATTTCATATACTTGTGTTAATTTCTTGCATGCTCTTTATCCTTTCACTTCATTAGGCTATAGAGAAGCTCCTGGGTATGTGACCGGAATGTTTGTAAAAACTTGGAAACAAAAGGGACAAGAAACAAATACTGGTTTTGTCAGTTTTCTCCTTTCCCTGAAATCAGGAGATGGGAATCCAGTCTTTAGCACTTGGATTCCTCCTGAATACCACCTTACAATATACTGATTTTCCTACCTTCCTACCCTTATTACCAGGAAAACTCTGAAACTGAACAAAGGTTGATTATCAAAAAGTCAAATGATCTGCAAGCATCATAAGTATATTCCAAAAAAAGAATTCTTGGTACATCACCAAAGAGCTGCTAATCACAAAGAAGGCTGTTTACAGATTGTGGTTCCTTAAGAATGGTACATGCTTCTGGTGTTTGGGATTTGTTTAAAGCTCAGAGATATTGGTTATTTCATACATAACAGATGTGATTTGTGAATTACTAAATGAAGAAAAATGTGTAACAAAATTCACGTTAAAAAGGACCTGAAGTTATCTTCTTCTTGAAAGTGTCTGGAGCTTTTGCTGGTAACTTGGGTTGAGCTGAGATTTCTCACCATCTGTTTCATTCCTTTCTTCCCATCCAGGTGAAGTCAAAAAGTAACTCCAGTTCCAAAAGGATTCACAGTGTTTTTAAGGAAGCAATAAAGATGCTACAAGAAAAAGGAGTGGTTTTCCAGAAACCTAGCAGCTCCAAGGACTTATACTATGTAAGGAATGGAATTGAGGTTGCAAACAAGTTCAGTGGTATGACTTTCATAATTGGTAAAAGCAATAAAAATATTGCAGAAATAGTAGAAATGTTTCAGAAGGAGAAGCTGGACATCCAGGTGCTCTCAGTTTACTCAAAAGTCTTTTCTGCAGCTTACTTCACTGTTGGTTGTACCTCTATATCACCCACTGAGTTGTTCCAAATTCTGTCTCTGATCCAGCTGAGCTCACTGAAACCTGGAGCCTGGGACAGTTCTCCTTATCAAAGTGGGTTCAAGCTTGCTGTTCTGCTGAGTCAGCACTGTCCTTTGGGTCAAACTTAGTTGTATCATGTTCTTCACCTAACTCATGGATGCTGCTAATAGTAGTAAAAATAATGCCTGAAGATTTGACATTCATTATTAGTCTTGGAAGCAGCATAAAATGCAGAATATAATTATGACAGTGTTAGCTGAGAATACACCATGGCATTGAATTGTTTTTCAACAGCAAGGCTAGTTTCTTCTTTTTTCTTCAGGTGACTGACCATGATAAAGAGCTGTTTAAAGTGACGCTTGATGTGATTAAAGAAGACTGTCGAAAACCCAGGCGTAAGTAGCATAGTGATCAAGTTCTGATGAGCTGGTGCTGATATACTGAAGACAATATCTCCTCCTGCTGCTGGATTGGATATGCTGCTTGTCCTCACCCTTGAACTCGAGTTGTTGCTGGTGTAGCTAATCAGTACAGCTAAAAGCAGGAGTGCAGGAGCAGCTTCCTGTGAGCATGGAGAGAGAAAGACCAGGTGTGCCCAGCAGGAAGCAAACCTCTCCAATGTGAAATAAGCAGCCATTATCTTAGATCTATATCTTTTGAGAATAGTTGGATTTTGGGAGGAACCAAATGTAATGAAGTCAGGTCACCACCTAGCAGGTGTTGCTTTGCACTCTGGAGAAGAAGCAAATCTTGCTGGTTCAGTTCCTGCAGGGGAGTTGACACAAAAGTGACCATGCAGAAAGGTGAAATACCCACCTCCTTCAAGTCAACTATAAAACTTGTTTAAGTCAGTAGGATATTCTCTGGAGATTTTAAGCTCAGGCAGAGCTCAGGTGTTTTTTCTTTTTAGTTAAGGATTTCAGTCGAACAAAGTCTTTTCAGATAATGTACCTCAGGTGGCTTCTGAATTATCCCTGTCCCCCAAACTATTGTGTCTTATTGTCAGCGTCTTAACTTATGTTTGACTTGAATGTGTGCTAATTACACAGGTACATTGCCATGGAGTGTCTTTCAGTTCATGGGATAGAATGTGTCAGCAGGGATCACTTGATGCCAGAGTGCAGCTATTTGTGGGATAGAATGTGCTTTAGTACAGAATAAATGACTGACTGCAACATAAGGCATGAAATCTTAAATTAGTCATACCCCTATATTATCATAACTACAATAGCACTTGTAGGACCTGGAGTATAATGGTTATCCTGCAGTGAAAAAAAAAGGCTAAGCAAGCCAATATCAAGTTTGAGTTTTAACTTTCTCTCTTAAGAAGTGGTACATTTGTAGACACTTGTAGACTTGGGAGAAGAGGTTACTACTGGGCATGCAGGTTAATATGGGCTTGTTTGCCTGAGGGTGTTCCAGTGCAACAAATTACTGTATCACATTATTTAATTGTCTTTTATCTAATTAACAAATACAAACATAATTTCTCTAAGAGTCAAATAATTCATTTGCTCATTTTATCAGCTGGTTCTCCTGGTAACCTACTTTTTTTATATGACTGTGTCACTATCGACGCCAGAACCTCTATTCATTTGACAGAGGCACTGAGTGACTGCCTCCTTTTTGTTCCTTTCTTGTCCATTGTCACACTGATAAAAGTACTCTGTGATCCATGAGAAGTTGGAAAGTTCTCTCGGTCAGGAAAGTCAACAGCAGAGAGTAATTTGTAGATCAGTCACAGAAAAGACTTTGAAGAGTCCCAAGTCCTCAAAACCGTATTTTTCATAATAAGCAGTGTAAAATTAATAACTGTTTCACAAACCCTCTTGTTCTCCTTGAAGCTTTCCCCCGACTTAGTTTCCCACTGCAAAGAGGACAAATTCCAGGTCAGCGTCCCCTTGCTGGTTTCCAGAAGGACCATTTTAATGTCCTGGTCATTGGCAGTAGAAGCAAAGCCAAGAAGCTTCAGTGGAAAGCAGCAGGGCACGGCGGCTGCTTGCTGTCCGCGGCTGATGCAGGAGCGCGGAGCTCGATGCGGCTCCGGCCCCCTCTGCCGGTCCCTGCCGCCCGCCTGGCTCCAGGGAGAGAACAGCACATGGCCATTCACCTCTAGGGCTTCGGCTTCTTTGTTGCAAGAAATTCCTACCCGTTTTCCTCCAAGATTAATAGTAATCTTCCATGACAAGAAGGATGATTTATGACAAATCAAACTCTTCTCTCCTATGAGTTACTTCTCTGCCAGTTTTTCCTGGCAACGCCTTGTGCCATTGCTGTAGTTGTGACACATTCCCAGGCCCAACCCAGCTTTCTGAAACTATTGTACAAATTAAAAAAAAAAAATCTTGCATGCCTACTCAGAGCTGCACAAGCCCTGATCTGTAATGTGCCTACATGACAATCCTTGCCCTAAGCTCCACTTATAATTCTTGATCTTCAATGCACTCATGAGAGACCACTGTGGATCCATCTAGAAACTTAATATAGCCAGATAGCACATTGTGACTCCAGACTGAACTGCAAAATGTATTTGGGTTTTGGATTATTTGTTTCTTTGTTTTATAAATTTGCTCTGTTTCTCAGTTTTATAAATTTTAGGCTTAGATCAGGCTAATGGTAGAGGGGACAGAAACCAGAACCACTTGAAGTTAAATTTAATGTCACAGTGGACCCTGTGTGAGATATCTTCAGTGGGTAAATGGTTGTTGTTCTGTAACTCTGTCCCCTCTGATGCTGTCAGGTGGGACAGTTAATGACAGTCTGGCTTCCCTCAGCTGCTGGATAAAAGCAAGAACCCAGGATGTCAGTGAAAGAGGGATAGGAATATTTGGGGGTTACATAATCATTGTACATACCTGCAGCTGCCTCAAAGTGCCATTTTCTACCAGTATCAAGGGGAAAAGAACACATTGTACTGTTGAGTCATTAAAGTAATTCACTGAGATTTAAGTTCTCTAGATCAGGGATGGGCAATTTGACCTTCTTATGACAAACCTATAACAAATGCAAAGTGCAGCTACCCATTTTGTTTGCAAAAGCAGTCATTATGACCAGGTAGAAGCATTGTTCTGTTCTCTGCCTTTACCTCTCCCAGGGTAGTGGAAACATTTTTGACTATTGGCCACAAAGGTCTTTTTATCATGCTGGATACTTCTGAGGAAGTATTTCTGCCTGATTCACAGCCTAATCAGAATTAGGCTGAACTGTTTTTTTTACCACTGTCTACCAGTGACTTTTCTCAGCAGGTTCTAAGGCAGCTCTGGGGCCCAGCAGATTCTAGAGTAGAGAATTAACTAAAAAAACAAAAAACAACAAAATATAGGGCCCTCCCTGGCCCATGACAATTTCTCAGTGCCCTTATCGAACTTGCCTTGCATCATGTGAGCTAAGGAGAAGGAAAATAATTTGTGCTGATATATTTGATTTATGTGTGTTTTCCATTGTCAGCTGCTATGGAGAAATATGTTGTGGACTTCAGCACTTGGGGGACTGGGAACTTGCAGCACTGATGAATAGTGGGTTACAGGCTGTGTTGGAGGAAATGATGACTGGGACAGCTTTGAACAATGTTCCACCTGGCACAGAACAGATGCACACAGCCGTGAAGGACCTCTGTGCTTGTCCCTAGCAAAGGGGGTTATTTTAAACTTCTATTCTCTTGTACATTGCAGGCTAATTTCACTTAAAAGGAAATAAAATCTGATACTGATGGTTGTGTGACTTCCTACTCCCATAATTGTCTGAGTAGTCTGCAGGGTAGGTAGGGATGGGATAGCATTGCGAGGTAAATGCAATTGCAGTGCAGCCATTTTTCCACAAGGTGCCAGCGTTGGGCCAGCGGTTACAGGCCCATGACACCTCCCTGCTGTGCTAGAGGGTTGTGAAGTTTGGTCTCACTAAAATGACTTTCATTTGTTCCTTCTGAAGTTGCAAAAACTGGATGGCCTGTACAAGCAGACAATGGAGGTACCCTTCCATTATTAAACTCCTCATCAAGTTGTACTGAGCCTTGTATGTTAAGAGTTGGCAAGACTTGAGTTATCTCACCCTCATTACTACTGTTACCCTGACACTTCCCAGAAAAGTCACTGGGAACAGTTGATAATTGGAGAACTGTAGGCACTGTCAGGATCTCGTTCTTCTGAATACACACTTCTCTTTCAGTATCTAGGACTCTGGGATTTTTCATGATTGATCTGTATTATGATAGTTCAAAAGATACAGTTAGAGTGAAATATTTTTTCCATGCCTGACTGCATTTTCCTTTTCTCTGCAGATGCTGAAAAAGGCTGCCATTTCCTTCATGTCCTGAGTTGTGTTCGACAGAGCTACAACCCCTCTCTGGCTGAAGTGGTGATGCAGCGTGTCTTGGAACTGCTGGAGAACAACAGTGATGTTGTCAGCACAATGGAAGGATATTTTATGGTATTTTAAAGAGAAAAGATAAGAAAGAGAGGTTGAGAGACTGTGAGAAGCTGTCATTAGCTGGTATGATCTAGATAGTGGACAAAAAAGAGCCTTTTGATTCTCCAAATGCTATTTTTGTCTAGCTTCAGAGAAATTGTTCAAATACTTCTTTTAATATTCTTGCTGACTTCCTTGCTATTCCTAGTGATATCAAACTGATTCTGGACATTCTAATCTAGCAGGGAACTGGAAAAGAAACTGTGCTCTTTTACTGGAGTAGGATGAGACATTGACCATCCTCACATGTGCATCCAGTGGGCCTAAAGAAAAGTCACTACTGAAGATCAGTTTACAGCAGTGATCATCTCAGGAGATATTTTTCTGGCTTAAAGACTGATCTTGCAAACTTTCATGTGGTAATAGCTGTGGATCTTTCTTTTTATGTGAATTTCATACCACCTAGAGAAAGGACACACAAACAGAAGGATTTGCCTGTTCTTCCTGGCAGTGCTGGTGCACCTTTGTCTGTGAATATGTAGTCCTCAATCTGGACAGCTTTCCCACTACCAAAGCAACCCTCACCATTTTCTGTGAGGTAATATTCAGGAATGGGGTCCTACATCCCTTCCCCATCCTGCAGCCTTTCCCACTGGTTGTCAAGCACGTCTGCATTCCTCTGCATTCCCATCTGTGCTACTGATGCCTGTTGTTGCTGTTCCTCTTCAGACCAGAATTTTCAAAGTCAGCTATTGTTTTGCTGACTTTTTTTTGTTTTTGACTTTTTATTGTTTTTCAGTTGCTTCCTACATCACAAATGGTAAAATATAAATTACATGCTTTGGAAAAAAATATACAGAAGCCACTGAGACTCACTGTAATCTCCTCTGCCTGTTGCTTTTTGTCTTTTATTCTTTGTCACTGTTGTGGTAAAATACTGCCCATATCTGTGCTTGCAGAAGAACACAAGGCATAGAAGAAACAGCACTGGCCTAAAGAAGGTTACCGTGCAAGATGTTTGATCTGGAATAATTATAACTCTGTTATGTGCAACAGTAAAAAAGCAAAGTTGTTCAATATTTATCCTTAGAGAGGCCTTGCTGCTGCAGGGGCTTGTCTGTTTAATTAACCTGTTTAATTTATGGTGTGGAGGTGAGACCTTTAACTTGAAAAGAGTACAAAAGATTGAATTTATCCTTCTTTCCTTTGCACCTACCCTGTAGCAGTTGAAATAGCAGACTCCCAGGAGGCAGCTGTAGTGGTAAAGCCCTATAAGGATTGACATAGCAGGGAAAAATAAACCATATGCATGAGGAAAGCCAGTGAGTAGCCGCATGTGTGCCAGCTCTCTGGTTTGTTATATTATCTGCCTCACTCCAAGCCTTGGCTGCAGATATAGGCTAAGAGAAAAGCATGACAAAATATTTGGCATTTGCATTCAGAGGCCTGTGGAAAACTCTGGCCTTAAAGAGATGTTCGTATGTATGAATCATTCATTTGCTGTGTATTCCCTTTTTGCTGCAGGACTCAGTAGTTGGTTTCCTCACAGATTTCCCTACTCCTCATGTTGTTTCTCTGCTTTGAGTCAGGTACCTTCTAGTCAGATCACAATATGGGCCCTGAACAGGTGCTGAAGGGATGTACCTGTGCGGAAGGAAATAGAAGAGGATTAAGGAAGAGCTGTAGAATATTTGTTCCTGACTCCCTCCCCATGCTCTGAATAGCTCTAATCAGGAAAAGAAGGCAGATTCTGAGTCAAGTGGTACTAAAGGGAATTGAAACTTTAATTTATGCCTATGAGAAGATACGGTTGGCCACTGGGGAGAATTGCTTTTTAAATTCCTGCTCTGATTGTTGATCAGTTAGAAGTGATGCTTAAAAACAAGGCTATCTATGGAAGAAGTAGCTTGGAATATTGAATCCTAAATTCAAATTCACTTCAGGAATTGCCCATAACCAAGCAGTACATATGGTTAAATTGCTTATTAGGCCTGAATTTGAGGATATTTTAAAGGAAAGTATGAGGTGTTTCAGACCATTTGGAAGAGTATGGCATCTAATTTAAGAGACTGTCTTGGCCATTTTCTTGAAATGTTCTGTATTAGCAGAAGTTTCTTTTGCTGGGAAAGAGTTAAAGGAACAGTGCTAGCTCAGTGGGAAAGGTGATCTCCTCTCTTAAGTTAGAAGAAAGACCCTGGTTCTCCTGAAGATGACAGCTGAGTGTGTGGGCTGGATGAGTTTGGGGAGAAAAAGAGAGTTTGGAGATCAGGTTGCTCTTTAGGATCTCTTTATAATAAATTCTTACCAAAATAGGATTACATCTTTGGGCTTTGCAGTTTGCATAGTTACACATGCAAATTCTGTTGCCTCCAACTCTGAGGCTGCACTTACTGTGTTTTAGATGTGTTTCTCTGTGTAAAGTTTGCCTAAAATCCCTGTCCACTGATTTTCTATGCTTGGAGGTAGGAAGGGCAGACACTTCTATCTGCATCAGTCCTGCCCCTGTTGCAGTTCCAAAGCACTGAACAACTGCAAAGCCTTGGAGATGAGGTGGAAGGAACTTATCTCAGGAAACACGGGTAAGTTATTCTGGAAAGAAACTGTCCCTGGAAGTTTTTAAGTTGATCCTTGCTGGTGTGCTTGACTCGTGTGATGGAGGGTGTGTTCTGATGGTGTTTGTTCCCTAACAGGAAAAAAGGGATTTTTCTCAGATGAGTTGTCTCAGGCAAGTAAGATGAATAAACACAAGGGAGCCTATAGTTTTTACAAGAGTGAAAGGTTAAGCTAAAGTTAATGGAGGAGCCTAGATTTAAGCTACACAGATTCTGTCTATTTCTACAGAATAGCTGTGTCTTAAGCTTGCATGCTTTCTTTTTTCCACAGTAGCCACCCAGCCCAGGTTACTCTGGTTGAGAGCACTCCCTCTTGCACCTACAGGGAATACAACATGCATATGCCTGCACAGCAGTACCCCGAGGAGCTGTGGGAGCACAGAGCTCACTGTAGGCTGATTTACCCATTCACTCAGTATCTCTACAGTGTGCTTCTGTGACAGCAGTCTAGACATACCCATGTTGGTATAAGTCACCTTTATGTAACTTGAACTACACACACTAGGGCTTTTACTGCAAATAAACTGTCTCTCTGTTTAAAGATCATATCCTTAACCAACAGAGTCATATCAAGCACACTGTTAAAATTCTTAGACCACACCTATGAAATATTGTGCAGAGGATTCAGTGAAAGCATGCTTTCTTGTTTTGTTTAATTTAAAAACTCGTTAGCCAACACAATTATTACTGGTTTATTAAAGGACTTAGAAGGTGGTACTTTAATGTGAAGCTGACAAGTGAGAATTCATGTTGTAGAATTGCTTCATGGCCAGCTCCAGTTTCCATAGCAACAGTTATGCCAGTAAAAGGTAGGTAAGGAAAATGGAATTTTTAAAATCAGTCACCGTTTCTGTTACCTTAAAAAGGTAAGTTTCCATAGAAATGCAGCACCTGAGAACAAAAATTACTTAAGAATCTCAATATTCTATTCTGGCAAAATGCATGGTGATTGTTTTTCTTGTGAGGAAACAAAGAAACAGCTTTACCTTCAGTCCCTGCCCTCTGCTTATGTGAGAGGGGAGATGAGGTTACTTCATACCTCAGTTGCCCCCTTTTGTAAACTGGGAATAATACAATTTCCCATGTAGGGCATAAGCCTCATTTTTTTTTGTAATCCTAGTCATTAAAAGCTCTATGGGAGCTATTAGAGAAAAACTGTGGCTGTGTGGGAGAGAGTGAATGGATAAATGCTGGAGAGGAACTTTAGACTTTTTTAGTACTAATAGCTTTATATTTTTATGCCTCATTTTCCTTGCATATTGCTTTGCTTGTCTTGTTGTCTTGCTCTCCAAGGCAAATGAGGGTCTCCCTGGTTTTATTTATATCATATTTTTCCTGGAATCATATTTCTAATGACTTCTTAGATGACTTCATAAAAATAGAAACCCAGATAAATGAGTTCTGAGTATTCTTGTTCTGAAATCTTTAAATTTGGACCCACGAAGGTATGGATTTTACACAACCTGCCTGGGAAATTAAGCTTTACTTTCAAAATAATAAATGACAAATATTGGTTACATGACTAAAAGCTGTTACTGTTTTGGATCTGTGTGTACTTGTGTATTCCAGTGATGAATACCATAAATAGGAGTTGCTAATTCATTATTCAACGTGGGAATTCAATGAGCAGCTAGTGAGGCACGGAGCCACACAGAGAATTATGAGACAAAGTACTAGAAATCTGTTTGTCAAAGAAATGCATTTTGGTTTACTTTGAGAGTAAGCTGATCCTGTGGGGAAGAGATGTGCCTAGAAAAGATTTGTATCTTTATACTTACCTCTAAATGGGAAGGGAGCAAGTTCAGATCCCATGGGCACCCTGAATTTTGAAACTTCCTGTCAGTACAGCGCTGTGTTCTTTATTGCTTTCTTTCAGCACAGTCTCCAATCCTCCTGCCCCAACCCTCCAGGCTAGAGCAAAAAAAAAAGTTCAGCCACAAAGATAAAAGAATAGTTACAATAATTGGTTACCATCCTCCTGGAGTCCCAGCATTACAGCAACATTTTTGTGGATCCTTGTGGGCAGCAGGGAAATGCTGAGCCAAGGATCTTGGGTTTCATTCCCAGCAATATACCCTGCCAGGCACAGAGACTTTCTCCCTAATTTCTTTCATCTATTCCTGAGCTCCACTCTCCCCTCTGACTCGTTACTCGGGCCCTTCATTTCATTCACAGTCACAGATCCTGTCAAAATCCCTTCCTCTCTTTTGTTCCCTATATCTTTCCTAACTCAAATATCCTTGTCAACATCTGGCAATTGAAACTTTCAGAATAATCCCCTTGCCTAACTGACCCAGCACTGTTCACAGCCTTTTCTGTTTCCAGCAGGCTGTCCTTTGCTCCTTGTCTAGGCACCAGAAGAGGCCACTTTCTTCCCAGTGTAGTTTGCAGCAGGAAAGAGCTGCTCTTTCCACCCCACTCTACTGAAGATTCAGTAGCACCCTAAATATTACAGTGGTGAGTTTTTTGCAGGTATCCAAGTACAAAAAAAAATGTAACTAAAAAATAAGAGTCATGCCTTGCCCAAACCTGAACAAGCAGAAGTCACGCCCCTGATAGAAGCTATCTGCCTCTCCCTGCCACTTGCAAGTCCTTGCAGATCTCATTGCAGACATGATCTGTAAAGCTGATGTGGACTTCTAACTTGTGTGTCTCCCAGTTAGTGTAGTCCTCTTTATAGTCTGTTTTTTTTTTTTTCTGAGAAATTGTGACTATTCTGATGTGATTATACTGTGTGTCTGGGCATTTGTCAACTTCTCTCCCACCACCCCAAGTGACTTTGGCTAGTTAAGAAGTGTGAAGGACCCTGAACAGTTACAATCTGCCACTTTTTTAGAAAATGGATGCACTGATAGAAGAGGGAAGCCTAAATCAGTGCCTCCATCAAAGGGAAGGAAGAAAGTCAGACAACACCAGAGGAACCACACATGGGACAGTCTCAAAGAACCTGTTCCTGTAACTTAAGCTGCCACAAGAAGTACTTGTTCTGCAAGTGCTCTTTTAAGAAATGATTGGACAGTTTTTGCAGAAGTTTCCTTACAGAGATTGCCCTAAGACAGTCATTTGTAAACTGGAAATCCATTAAAATCTGGTAAAGCTGCATTGGGGTACAAAGTTTAGCAATGGATTGTTAATGATGCCACCACTAATATCTTTTAATGTGCAATGCAGGCTATACTAATCTAGTCACAGCAATTTACAAGTTGAAACCAGCCCAGATTAACAAGATTGCATGAGAATAAGAATTTGCCAATGAAAAAAATAACCTAAAGGGACAATTTTCAGTAAGTGTTAACTACTGAACACTGCAGTGCCAATTAACCTGGCACAACATGTCCTACAGCTCTTGTTTTAGCTTGCTTTTTTGTTATTCACTGGAAGAAGGCACACTCCTTCTCTACCAGCTAGAACTGGAGCTCTCTGCTGCCTTCACATCGCTCTGCTGGAAACAAGGTAAGATAAATAGCAAACGTATATCACTGCATAGCAACCAACATGATTAAATGCAGTATGTGCCAAGTCTGTTATTGGCCTGGAAAGTTCATGGTTCCTCCCAGGAGTGGACTTCAGCCAAATATTACAGCAATATTTGGAAATAGGAGGGAGGAATCTATTCCCTCAACTGTCTTCCCCAACAATGGAGTCCTGCAAGTCCTGCAGGCCTAACTCTAATGTACTCTTGGCAAGGAACAAAGGTGGTACAGAAATGAAAATAGAGCTTGGGGCTGGGTTTTTCTCTTGTTGACAATATTGGTCATTTGTTTTGAGAGTGTAGGGGCTGTCCTTGTGTTCATGTAAAACTCTTCTTTGCTACATTGCCCACAAAATACCTCTGAGCCCGCTGGTGCTCTGAACTGCTGCCTACACTGCTGACTCATGTCCGTCATTGTTTTCTGTCCTCACCTTGTCTTTTTTCCCCAATAAAATCTCTTGAACTTAATTCCTGATTCAAAGAAGTTATGGTCTCTGTCCTCCTGTGAGTACAGTGATCCAGGACAAATATAACAAGAGCAAACTGATGTAGAGAAGAGTTTTTGTTGGAACCCTGAATGTAGCAAAGGATGAGAAGTACAGAGGAAGCTGAAGGAGGAGGATTTAGCACAAAGACGTTTGAAATGAGTCCTACTGAAAAAGGCTAAAGAAATAATTGCCTAATGATGCTGTAGACATCTGTTTCAGAACAGGCAGCAGGTGTTGCATGTAATGAAAGCAAGGACTTGTACTGTTTTATTTTCTGCAGTTAGAAAGTAGAGGAGGAAATGAGGTCAGGAAAAATGGAGTAAGAGAACATTTTGCATAAACAACTGAGTGAATTTATATAGAGCACAGCAGTATTTATATGGTATTCCTCTGCCTTC